CCCCCCCCCCCACCCCTCATAATCCGCAACCATGGCGCGAGGTGACGGCCAGGAGCTCGACATCACCGTCCCCGTCGACGACCCAAAGAAGTCCGACCAGGAAAAGGCAAAGGAAGAGCAGCGCGAGGAAGCAGCTCGCAAAGGCCTGCCCCCCTTCTCCGAAAAGCGCGCCAACGCCAAGGACAAGCCCGATGACGAGCTCAGCGAAGACGACCTCCAGCTCAAGAACGAGCTCGAGATGCTCGTAGAGCGCCTCAAGGAGGACGACGCCTCCCTCTACCGTCCCGCCCTCGAGTCCCTCCGCACACTCATCCGCACAAGCACCTCCTCCATGACCTCGGTCCCCAAACCCCTCAAGTTCCTCCGCCCACACTACCCAGAGCTCAAGACGCTCTACAACGCTTGGAATCACGCCTCCGACGACAAGAGCCTCTTTGCAGAGATCCTCTCCGTCCTCGCAATGACCCACTCGGACAACGGACAGCGCGAGACCCTCCACTTCCGCCTCGAGGCCAACCACGTCGCCGCCTCGGGCAAGTCCGAAGACCCAGGTCTGTGGGGTCACGAATACATGCGCCACCTCGCCGCCGAGCTCGGCGAAGAGTACACCGCCCGCTCCCACGAGGACAAGAACACCGACGAGCTGCTCGACCTCGCCCTCCAGGTCGTCCCCTTCAGCCTCTCCCACAATGCAGAGGCAGACGCCGTCGACCTCTTGCTCGAGCTCGAGGCCATCGACAAGCTCCCCCAATTCGTCGACAAGGACACCTATGCACGCGTATGCCTCTACATGGTCAGCTGCGTCAACCTCCTCGTGCCCCCCGACGACGCCATGTTCCTCCGCACTGCCCACGAAATCTACCGCAAGCACGACCGCTTCACCGAGGCCATGACCCTCGCACTCCGCCTCGGCGACAAGCACCTCATCCGCTCCGATTTCGAGGCGCCCAAGAACCCCACCATGCGCAAGCAGCTCGCCTTCATGCTCGCACGCCAGCACATCCCCATCGAGTGGCTCCAGGACGAGGACGCGCCCATCACCGACAACGAACTGCTCGACATCATGTACAACTCGCACCTCTCGCGCCACTTTGTCAACTTTGGCAAGGAGCTCAACGTCGTCGAGCCAAAGAGCCTCGAAGACATCTACAAGACCCACCTCGAAACCTCGCGCACCGGACTCGGCTCCTCGGTCGACTCGGCGCGCGGCAACCTCGCCAGCACCTTTGTCAACGCCTTTGTCAACGCCGGCTTCGGCAACGACAAGCTCATGGTCGACGCGCCCGAGGGCAACTCGTGGATCTACAAGAACAAGGACCACGGCATGCTCTCCGCCGCCGCCTCGCTCGGCATGAGCCTCCTCTGGAACACCGAGACCGGCCTCGACCAGATCGACAAGTACTCCTACTCGTCCGAAGAGGCCATCAAGGCCGGCGCACTCCTCGCCTACGGCATCGTACACTCCGGCCTTCGCTCCGAGCTCGACGAGGCCCTCGCGCTGCTTTCGGAGCACATCGAGTCCAAGAGCATCCCGCTCAAGATCTCGGCCATCGTCGGCCTCGGCCTCGCCTACGCCGGCCTCTGCCGCGAGGACATCGCCGCGCTGCTGCTGCCCAACATCCAGGACGAGACAACGCCCATGGAGGTCGCCGCCATGTCGGCGCTCTCGCTCGGCTTTGTCTTCGCCGGCAGCTGCCACGGCGAGATCACGCCCACCATCCTCCAGAGCATGTTCGAGCGCGATCCGGCGCAGCTCGACGACAAGTGGTCGCGCTTCATGATCCTCGGCCTCGCGCTCCTCTTCCTCGGCAAGCAGGACGAGAGCGACGCCACGATCGAGACGCTCAAGGCCATCGACCATCCCATCAGCAAGCAGGCGCAGGTGCTCGTCGACATGTGCTCCTACGCAGGCACCGGCAACGTGCTCAAGGTGCAGACCATGCTCCACTACTGCACCGAGCGCTCCATACCAGACGCCAACGGCAGCGACGATGCCGAGGGCGGCGACAACAGCGACAACGGCGCGAGTGGTGGCAGCGGTAGCGGTAGCGGCGATGCTGAAGCCGACTCGAGCGATGCAAGCCAGGACAAGGAGGCCAACGAGCTCTTCCAGGCGTTTGCCGTGATCGGCATTGCGCTCGTCACGATGGGCGAGGAGGTGGGCGCGGAGATGGCGTTGCGTCACCTTTCGCACCTCATGCACTATGGCGAGCCTACGATCCGCCGGGCGGTGCCGCTTGCCTTGGCGCTGCTTCATCCGTCGGACCCGTCGATGCCCGTCATCGACACGCTCTCCAAGTACTCGCACGACTCGGATCTGGATGTGGCGATCAACGCCATTCTTGCCATGGGTCTCGTGGGTGCTGGATCGAACAATGCGAGGTTGGGACAGATGCTGAGACAGCTGGCGGGATACTACTACAAGGAACCCGACTGTCTGTTTATGGTGCGCGTGTCGCAGGGGCTCGTGCACATGGGCAAGGGTACGATTGGGATCAATCCGTACCATACCGATCGTCAGCTCATGTCGAGGACTGCCGTCGCGGGCATTTTGACGCTGCTCACTTCCATGACCGATGCGCGTGGGTTCGTGCTGGATCAGGCTCATTGGATGCTGTACATGCTCACGCCCGCCATGTACCCTCGCTTCCTGATTACGCTCGACGAAAAGCTAGAGGCCCTCCCTACCTCGGTACGCGTCGGAAAGGCCGTCGATGTCGTAGGCCAGGCCGGTAAGCCGCGCACGATCAGTGGATTCCAAACACATACGACCCCCGTCCGCGTCGGAACGTACGAGCGCGCCGAACTCGGTTCAGAGGAGTACCTCAGCTACGCACATGTGCTCGAGGGCTTCTCCATCCTCCTCAAGAACCCCGGCTACGTCAAGGAGGAAGACCTCTGATCTCACATCTTGTAACGCTATACTCGAAGAAGAAAAAGACTTTTTGCATTGGTAGATGGTCGTTCGTGTGGTGTCCAGCGTGCGGTTTAGGGATGTTTACAGGAGGGGATGAGATCAGGACAGTCGAAAAGGAGTTTGACGGGGATGTGGGCCTTGGTTGCTCGGCAGATGCGAGTGGCAGATGCGAGTGGCAGATGCGAATCGCGAAAGGCGGATTGGTTGTCGATTGCAGACGAGCGCATTCTCGCTTGTAAGTTGGGGATTAAGCCTTCTGGTTTCTATGGTCTGATCGGACGTGGCAGGATCATTGAGAGAACCCGGGACAGCACAGACCAGATGACGGCCTGGTAGCTCTCGGAGATCGGCGTGTAGAAACAGTCGAACTCGGACAATATGCGTACCGGTATCCGAACCTCCTGAGGCGTGCGGAAGGGATACTGAAACATGCTTTCCATCTCGGGTTCAGATGGGGTGCATTCTGACCGAATGCGAGAGAGGCGTCGTCGACACCATGCCGCAGCGGAAGCTGGCAAGAGCCTGAGGAACAGTTCGACGTTGATTTCGATCCCTTGGACGAGATACAGCACACCCAGGTAGTGCGTCAACAAGAGAAAGCTGGCAACGACCAAGTGCCGTTCTGCGGGTCGGCTGAGATCGATTTGCGCCCAACTTGCTCTGAGGAGGACACTCTCGGGTCTAGACAGCATCCGCTCGAGGATAGCCCTCGAGTTTGCGGTCAAAGGTACTTGGGACGACATGGCGAGAGTTGTTTGTGCACAGATGGGGCAGAGGAGCAAGATGAATGAAGAGGTCGCCGAGCTTGTCAGCTTGATGGATGCAACGAGAGGACCAGAAAGCGGGAAAGTTGGGCCTTTGTAGAGGATGCGGGATGGAAGCATGGCACACATTCTCCTGAAACAGATTGGCTCCGGCATCATTGTGGATCGCAAGTGCGCCGCTGAACTGCGCAATGTGACGTCCGGAAGTTGGCCGGCGTGATTCCCTGCTTGATGCGCAGGATAAAGTTGGGACGGCTCAGAGTTTGAACCTTGTTCTGTGAGGTGTGGGAGTGCGTGATTGGACTTGTGATGGATCTTCCGCTCCTTCACGGCGTGATTTGGCCAGGCGCGGGGTTGATGAAGAGCGGACTGCGCAAAGACGCGCAACTGCTTCCTACCTGCCCCGATTCTTTCCGACCGTGACAAAGTCGGCCGACGCAGAGCTGCGCACCGACATCGTGTGATGATGGTGCGGAATACATAAGCTGAGATCCCGACAATCCTAGTCCCGTTATCCCTACCCTAAACCAACACACCGCTTCCACAGCCTTTAAAACTTGCCGGTATAGAGCAGACATGGATCGCCGCTCGGTGCTTGTCTTTCTCAACATTTCCCCCTCGTACTTTAACGAGGAGCTGGCGTTCTTCACCGAGCATGCTCGGGCTGAAGGTCGCACGCTAGTCCCCTACACCCACCCTGACTATCCAGGCGAGTACGGTTACGTGTGCACAGGTGCCGACGACTCGCTGGTCGACTCGGCCAAGTTTTTGGTACGTCGCCACGACTACATTCGTCTGTGGGTCTTCAGCGAGAGCGACTTTGTCCTGCCGCGCGAGATCAACAACTCCAACAGCCTCGACAATCTAGTCTCGTCCCACCGTGCCTTGTCGGGATGATCAAGCGGCCGAACTAAAAGATCTCCACACGATGCTTGGTGACAACGCCACGGCTCAACAAAGTCGTCTCGATGCCTGTAAGCATTCGCAACAGGGTGTAGAACATGCCGTCGTGAAACCTGACTCGCTTCACTCTTAATCCGCACCCGCGTCGACAAGCATCGTTACAAAGAGTCTTGGAAGCAGCTTGGACTCGACCGGATCACCACCACCCAGCTTGTATCTCACTCTTGCCATCTTACCTACTGCACCCCTCGCACAACGCCCGCATCGCCTGTACAGCTGAATTGCACGTGGTAGCATGTCAATGATACGACAAAGCGAGTAGAATTAAGACGATCAAAGAAAGTCGATCCCGATACCGAGCTCAAGACCCTTTGCCATGCCGTCTCCCCTGCGCGCTGTGAGCGGGACGCCGGCATTGAGTTCGACCCTTAGCTGGCCCTGCGTATATACGAGCCCGACACCCGCCGCTGTCGAGGGCTGAGCGAGCTCTTTGCACGCTCCCACCCTGCTCGACGCTGCGGCAGTCGGCAGCTGTGCGAGCTGGCCCGCGTTGGCGAATGCATGCAGCATGAGTGGCCAGTGCGGCTTCTTGGGGATGGGCGAGAACATCGAGAGTCCGACCGACCAGAACACATCGCCGCCCAGCGAGTCCTGGCCATTCTTGGGCCCCAGCGACGAGTGGCGGAACATACGCACCGATGTAGGACCTCCAAGCTGGAAGCGATCCGATAGGTGAGGCGCAGAGCTGCCGAGGGCGTGCACCACACCCGTGCGCAGCGTGAGGGTCGTAAAGATCGGATGCAGCCCCTGTGCCACCTCGCCTACTACATCTCCCTCCTCCTTGCCCACTGCCGCTGACCCCATGAGCGATGTTGGCACCTCTGCCGACGACGCCGTTGACGGGAAGAGCCATGCAAGGGGGGAGAGATGTCGGCCGGTTGACGCTTCGAATTCCGCCTTGACGTGATTGGCATCGCCACCGAGGCCGGCGTACTCGAGCAGCGTCCGCATCCTGCTGCCGCGTGACGGCAACACCACGCTGTCGCGGCTGTCACGCAGCCACGTCCAGCTGAGTGCCGACTTGACGCTGGGCGCCGCGGCCATCTTTCGGACGGCGACGCTGGCGTACGGTCGAACCCTGGCGAGCTCACGCAGCGACGCCTCGTACGCGAATTCATGCTGCGTCGTTGCCATGCCCTCGTCCTCCTCGGCGCCGGTAGGGTTGATGACGCCTTGCGGCTCCGAGGTGGAGCTGGAGTTGATGCTAGCGCGCACGCCGCGGATGGCCTCCGAGACCGAGGCGAACGCCGAAAGGTCGCGGTCGTGCGAAAATGCCGCGAGCCGGTACGACATGTCGGGATTGCCTGCGAGGGGCGCGCCAAACTCGACGTTGAACGCCTGGCGCGTGCGTGTGCCGAATGTCGCCGAGCCCTGCAGCGTCTCGGCGCCGCCAAAGACGTTGCGGATGCGGCCCTGGACCGAGGCGGAGCCCTCGCCGTTGCCGACGTCGGTGGACGACTTGAGGAAGACGCGGCCCTTGGGACGGCCGCACGCCAGGATCACGTCGACATCCTCCTCGCTCGCACCCGGAAACACCGAGGGCGCGAGCGACGCCTCGATGTTGCGGAAGACGTCGAGCTTGTCCAGATCGCCCGCGAGCGACGAGGTGAGCGCCAGGACGGACGCCAGCGTCGTCGGTTGTCCGGGAAGCACGTGCGAGGTGCGCGAGCCGTAGTAGAGCGTGTTGAGCGGCAATACGTCTGCGTTCTGCGTCGACAGCGTCGGGTCGAGGTAGGGCCGGCAGAGCGAAGCAAGGAAGCTAGGGCGGAGCGCACGCCCGGCTCCAGAGATGCGAATCGCATTCAGACGCAGGATCGGCGCAGGCGCAAACGGCGAGGCCGAGCCAGGCGCTCCTTGGAGGATCTCTGTCGCTGTGAGCAGGTTGTGTGGCCGCATGGGCGGCTCCTCCGCCTCCGCCTCCGCCTCTGCCCCGACAGCCGTGGCATCAGTGCTCGCCCGGGCGCTCTGAGCGCCTTCGGGGTGATCAGGCTGTGGGAGCGAGCCATCTTCGAGAGGCTGAGAGTGAATTCTCTCGGGCTGAGCTCGGTCTGGATCTGCCATGGCCTTTCCAAACGGCGACTCGGAGACTGGGTCGGCGGTGCCGCTGCGGCTGCCATTGGCACCGCTGGTGCTCTGCGTTGTTCGCGATGAAGACGACCCGGGCTGACGAGGCGAGTCGTCGGTATCTACCGAAGCCGCAGCTGCTGCCGCGCGTGCTTCGGCGGCATCGTGCGCCTGGTGCCTCTGCTCCTTGAGGCTGCTGAACTCCATAGTGTCGCGGCTGGTTGACGAGGAGAGGATGGAAACACGCCAAGCGGGTCGGAAGCCTTCCGAAGCTCCAGGACTGAGCGCTGTTTGAGACTTTTGCGGACCGAGCGGCGAAAGTGGAGCAGCGAGGGTACAAGGATCTAACACGGCAAAAGTCGGCGAAATTTTTGAGAAGCTTGAGCGAGGATGCGGATGTCGGGAGAAGAATCAAGTGGAGCGAAGATTTCATGGTCGAGGACACCCAACGAAGCCTTCGACCATACCAACCTGTGCCAGAGCGATCACCATCACTGCGCGGTACTGTCACTGCGCGCACGAGGCGGATTCTTCGGCAGCCTCTTATCTACGCTGCGCCGATCGCACCCGAGGCTCCGCGACAGCCGCAATGTCGGCCTGAAACCCAACACCGTCGATTCTTCGCCCACCACCTCTCGTCGGAACCGCGGGCGGCGCACGCGCGCGGTGTGCTTTGGTCGACCATGTTCGTGCTGGCGGACATCGAGGACACGATCAGCGTGCATCCTTCCGCATTTGGGCAGCCTTCGCTCACGAGTATCTCGGACCAGATCAACATCAAGTACGCCAACAAGATCCTTCCCGACGTCGGTCTCTGCGTGTCGTTGTTCGACATCCTCAGCTGTTCAGAGGGCAAGGTTCGATTTGGCGATGGCTGTCTATACCATCACGTTACATTCAGACTGGTCGTCTTCCGTCCTTTCACGCAGGAGGTCCTAACGGGAAAGATCAAGTCTTCAGACGAAGCCGGGATCCGCATTACAATGGGCTTCTTTGACGACATTTACGTCCCGGCTCATTTGATCCCCAAGCCTTGTGCCTTTGACCACCAGGAACGCGCTTGGTTCTGGCTCTACGAAGCACGCACCGACGAAATCGCCGCAGACCCTCTGCTCAGCCATCCAGACGAACGAATGTACCTCGACACGGCAGAACAGGTGCGCTTCACCATAGAGTCCGACGAGTTCTGGGACGCCGAACCAGGCCCCATTGCAAATCCCACCACAGACTCGGCACAGTCGTCAGCTTTACACCACAACCAACATACCGCCAAGGAGACTAAGCCACATTACAGCATCACCGCTAGCATCGCAGGCAGCGGCCTCGGCTTGGTCTCCTGGTGGACTGGCGCAGAAGCCGCCGCCCCGCTCGAAGGCCAAGAGATGGACGCATCCGCAGAACCACTCGAGTAAAATAGACATCACCCTTCGGCATCAGCACAGGCGGTCCTTGACCTTAACGGACGCCATGCTCGAACTCGCAGACTTTGCATGGCTGGACAGCGAATCCATCAGATGAAGAAATTACAAGAACCGAATGACAGAAGCCGTTACAGTGAATGAAGGCGCAAGCGAGCATGAGGTGGGGGAGCGATTCCGTGTGCGCATGGCGCATCCAGGGAGAATGCACAGTGAGGCAGGTGTGCAGCCGAAACAGGTATATGCAGAGAATCCAACTGGCAAGGCGGCAGGATGAAGGAAGAAGGAATGAAAGAAATTGTTCGTTGGTCGCATCACCACGTTGAGGTGGCGTGGACCGCGACAAGAGGCGTGGGCATCGCGCCTCATCCGCTCTGCTTGGTTGCAGACGCAGGCGCAGACGCAGGTGCGTCGGATGCCATGATCTTGGACGGCGGCGGAGTCGGAAGCCCCGACGTGTCGTGGCCCGCCGAGGCAGGAGCAGCCACCTTGACCGACGGCTCGGGCGAGCTCGATGCATCCGCGGCCGACAAGGCCTTGCGCATCGGTGCCGAGGCTGGCGGCGCAAGACCTGTCTCGGTCGACGATCGCGCGGCGGCACTGGCAGCGCTCGACTGCGCATGGCCCGCACTCGAGGCTGCCTTCTGCATCGCCTGGGAGCGCGGCTCGGGTGGCTGCGGGATGAGCGCTGCAACGATTCTGCGATGCTCCTCCTCGGCTGCACGCTTGTCGCCCGCAGACGCTCGCGGACGACGCCCCTTGCGCGCCGGCGATACTCCCTCGACAGGCTTGCGCGAAGGCGCCGTGCGGCTGCGGCGAAGCCCCGTGGCAGGTTTCGTTGGCGCAGCAAGGCTGGCCAGAGACGTCGGATCCTCGCTGTCCGGACTCTTGCCAGAAGCACCCGAAGCCTGCGGTGGCAGCTCCTCGCCATCGCTCGTGACGTCGTTGGCGTTGGTGCGGCGCGAGAAGCCAAGGCCGTAGCGTTTGGACTTGGGCTTGGTGGTCTTGCTGCGCATCAGGCGTGCGCCCCCGCCTTCGTGGACGTGCAACTCACCCTGCTCCTCGTCGCTGTCCGAGGGCACCAGCACGTCTGTGTCTGTGACGGGCTTGGAGACAGCCGTGAGCTCGCCGGCAGGCAGCTGCGAAGCAGGCTGAGGCTGCATGCCCAGCACGAAGTGGTCTTGGTGGTCGATGAGGAACTCGAGCACCTGGACGGCCAGCTTGTGCTCGCCCGGCGAGAGTTCATGCGACGGATGCGAGAACATGCCCGGCTGGAAGATGACGGCGAGGTTGCTGGATGGCATGAGGTTCTTATCCGACTTGCGCGCAAAGACGGCCAACAGGTCGAGCACGTAGAGCAGCAGGTACTGGCTGGCAGGCGGCATGCTGGAGATGAGCAACCGGTAGGTGCGGATGGCGCCGTCCTCGTCGAAGTTGTCCTTGGCGCGGATATTGCGGAACTCGGTGTAGAGGTCGTGCGGGACGATGGGCTCGGGCATGTGGTTGAAGTATCTGCGCAGCACGCTGGCGGCATCGTGCACGCTGTACTTGGTCCAGTCGACCGACTTTCCGTAGCGCGGCGGCGAGTCAAAGGTCTCCTGCAGCTCCTTCATGCGTTTTTGGGAACCGGCGATGCGGAAGACGCCCTCGACCTCGGTGGCATTCTCCTTGAGGTAGAGGCCCACTTTGGCGACGACGACAGGCACGTATCCCCACACGTACTGCTGACCGTCTTCGCCGGCGATCGAGATGGCGACGCTGGCGTATTTGAGAGACTGGCGGAGCGGAACGCCAAAGACGCGGTTGTCTGCCGGTTTCTTTTCTTTGTTGGCGCGGCCCTTTGTGAAGGAGGCCCACCACGCCTTGAGACCGGCTTTGGTGGAAGCGTGTTCATCCTGAGGCGAAGCGCTGGAACGAGGCCAGGAAGGCACGGGCTGGAGCTGCGAGGTGGATGCAGTGGTGGGAAGCGACACCTTTTCGGCAGTGCCGGCCGGGTGGCTTTGGATGGAGGCGTTGCCACGCGAAGTGGCCTTGGCGAGGGGTGCGGGCATAGCTGGTGCAGGATTTCAGCAGTCGAGCAGAGCAGAGCTGGGACGATGGGGTGGGAAACTACGCCGGAGGTACCGATGGCGATGTAGATGCGCTTCGTCGACGTGATCGGACGTTGCGGACTGCTGGCCAGGCTCGTGGGCAAAGGCGGACGCTCTCGGCTCGACGGCGACTGCCTATCGAGCTATGAATGAGTCGAGCGGGGGCCGAACACGCGCAGGCCGGATCGAAGCTGCGCTGGACCACGAGAGCACGATGGATGGAAGGAGAGTTGTCGAGTAGAGGCTTAGGGCTCGCGCATGTCGAAGCGGTGAGTGAGTCCAAGTTGGAAGAGGGCACGGCTGGGATGTGTGTGTGTGTGTGTGTGTGTGTG